AAATGGCTATATCTCAAGTTCTATAAAAGGTAGAAACTTGAAATTTACAGCATTTTAAAGATAATTGATTGAGCTTTTATAAAATTGTTTAAACAATTAAAATTGTTAATGACATATAATAAAAAATAATATATATATATAATCGGACCTATTCTGTGCACTTGACAAATTTGTCAAATTCTTTAATAAAATTTTTGATTTTTATAAAGCAGAAAGCTTTTTGGTATTCTGGACACATCTGGACAAATTTCACAGCTCTAGTACCTAATGCTTCTCACCACACTAAGGTATAAAGTGTTTTGTATATAAAACTGTTCGTAATTGTTCGTAACTGTTCGTAAAAATGCTTGTAAACAGCATATATTTTAAGTTGTCAAAAGCGTTTTTCATGCATTCAAAAAACAAAAAATATGCTTGTAAAAAGCGTATATTTTAGTTATGAATATTTGTCATGCATGCAAATAATAAAAAATGCATAAAAAGAGCATATTTTTATAGTTGTCTACAGCATTTGTAGTATTGACAACTTACAAGGAAAAGAGCTTTTCATTTATGTCACAGAATACCAAAACCTTTACAGCAGTCAATTTTGACAAGTGTCAATATTTGACAAGTTTATAAAGTGCACAGAATAGGTCCGTATATATATATAAAAATTCAACAGTATTTATTATACGCTTACGTGATAACAAAAAAAAAAAATTAAGACGATCTTCATTTAAAAAATTTTATTGTTAATTTAATATTTTATTATCTTATTTTTATTTATTAGTTTAAGTACAAACCAGTACATAATTATAACAATATAGGCCGTGTGCGAGTTAGGCTAAATTGATGCTAAACCAAATGGGAGATTTTTTGGGATTTGTTGCACTGCACACATTTTGCTATTTATCAACACGTATCGACACATCACCACATTATCGGCACAACTTAGAATTTCCCTCATTTAGAACGCAACTTAGCCTAACTCGCACACGACCATAGAAAGATTTTCTCACGCTCCAATACCACATCAAAAAGAAACTAAGATAAAGATTTGTTTAATCTCATCAGATGTAATCTATTCGTAGAGCTTTCGTATTATAAATGAGCTTCAACTTAAGATATAAAATAACAAAAGTTCTGGACTTTCTATACTCTCGTATAGGTCATAAAATCACATCTTCTCTGAAATAAATAACAGTAATTATAAAGTAATTAATTGATAAGATAATATAAAAAAATTTTTCCAAGATTTTTATATAAAAACTCGTTACTCAAGTCCATTTGTAGTAATTTTGTTAAAATGTCCAAAAAGAACTATAGCATCATAATAATTTCTTTATTCGTTGCTTGCACAGTTATAAGAGCCAATTCGCACAACTATAGTCCGGGTGGTGTAAGATATATTACTACTACACCTATAAAATCGAAGAGATTTTTATTTTATTACCTTTAGTTACCAACAAGCTGTGCTGAAGTATTAATACATTTTAAAAACGGCATTTATCAACTTCATTTACCTAAATCAGGACTTAAGCCATTTTACGTATACTGCTTAAAAGATCCAAACAATGGTCCAGGTTGGACAATTGTCAGCAGACGTCAAGATGGATCTATAAATTTCAATCGTAATTGGATTGATTATAAAGTCGGTTTTGGTAATCTGGAAGGTGAATACTTTATTGGATTGGAGAAGTTACATGCATTGACAAATAACGGTGTTCAGGAATTATGGTTTCAGTTGGAAGATTTTGAAAATGAAACCCGTTCGGCATTTTACAGCAGTTTTGCTATTGATGATGAGAGTTCGAAATACTCATTAAATATGGTTGGTAAATATTCTGGCAATGCAGGAGAATCTTTTATTGTTCACGCTGGTGCAAAGTTTTCAACAAAAGATAATGATAATGATGATTGGGATAGACATTGTGCGGATAACTATAACGGCCCCTGGTGGCATAAAGCCTGTCATCAAAGGTGCAGTAATTATTTAAATAATATCTTCAATATAAGTGGCTACACAATAAAAGCTTTCAAAATATTTACAGCATATGTACACGAAATAAAGTTTTTTAAAGTAATATGGAATACCAATTCATATATTGCTGTGATATATTCCAGTAATATTTTGGAGCATAAACTATTTAATATGAATGATTGTCATAGTACTATAATAGAGTTTTGTACTAATCTAATGGCTTATATAATACAAAAAATAATATGTTTAATATGTAATAATTTTTTTTGCAGCAATGTGTTTGGACGGTACTTACGTGGATCGTACGGACACGATCAATACGCACAAGGTATTAACTGGTTTAAATGGCACGGCTTTCACTATTCACTCAAATACACTCACATGGCAATACGCCCTGTTCGCATATAAATTTATTGGCCATGCGAGTGGAACAGATGTTAAGAACCAGTTGTTAATAGACATTTAATGTTTTTTAAAAATGGAAAATAAAAGTAAATTTTTTCTGTATTATTCTAAAAAAAGAATTAGTTACTTCTTTTATTTATTGAAAACCAATTTTTGAAGGATATATTTAAACGCGATATGTAGAGGACAGTATCTATATTTTTTATGATAATAAAGCTGCATTGAATATTGTTAATTTGTGTTTTTACAATTTAACTTTATTCTTATCGGAAGTCAAAAGTTAATCTATTTCTATATTTTTACAAAATGTTAAATACAGTTAATCAAATAAGAATAGCCTACTATTCAATTATGATTATACATTTCCAACAAATATATTAATAAATAGAGGTAAAAAACAGTGGAAACAATGGAATAAATTTTAAATATTCTGATGAGGAAGGTATAGAGAAGGTATAAGTACAGCAATAAGGAAATAAAGAAATAAATATGTAATAAGCTGTCTTAATCAGGCTTCTTTTTGGACTCTTGACTTTATAAATGCTTTTGACTGGTACTAGATTGACCTTTTCCTACACATTAATACGAGGAATTGTAGATTCAACATTCCTCCCTCTACTTTAATTAACTAACTAAATCATAGTTGGTTTATCAGTGTTTTTATGTAGACATCACTTTCATAAGGTAGTTATTGCCAAAATAGAAGAGTTTTATGTTGACGATTGGTGAAAAATCAAGTCGTGATAACTATCTAATGAAAATTGTATATTGTCCATTTATTGTATATATAAATAATTATTAATTTAATAGTATTTTTCAAATATTTTGATAAAAAAATAGTACTTTTTCTATCACTTGGATTATTTATTCAATACTTACCGCGTTTAAAATTAAATAAATTTTTTAACAAGTTACACATAAAAAATTACAATACCAAATAAATAGTATAACATAATAAATACTAAGAAATAGAGTAGATAATAGTTCAGGATTGAGGTAACGACTTATTCAGTGTATTATATATTATTTTAAAAATAATCAGACGAAATATTATTTCATTATTTTATGGTTTTGAAGTCATGAAAAAACTATTAGTCTTGGCTTTTTTATTTTACTTTATAGACACTACTCTTTATTTATAACCGACTTATCAATACCCAGGACGCTACTGATTCATATCAATAAAAATAACTTTTCTTACAAATTGGGGCATGTCTTTATCTCTTCTTAGAAATGAAATTGTATTTAAACTAAGTGCGGTAAATAAGAAATAATTAATTGATAAGATATCATAAACAAAATTGCTTAAGATTTTCATATAAAAACTCGTTACTCAAATCCATTTGTAGTCATTTTGTCAACATGTTAAATAAAAACTTGAGCATCTTAATAATTTCTCTATTCGTATTGTGCGCAGTTATTGGAGTCAATTCCCTCAGTGACAATTTGGGAGACGTAATAGATAATTCAGCTGTTACCATAAAACGGAATTTTTAAAAATGAAAATTTTTTTATCGTCTTTTTAGTTACCAACGAGCTGTGCTGAAGCATTAAAATTTTTCAAAAATAGTGGCATTTATCAACTTTATTTACCTAAATCTGGACTTAAACCATTTTATGCATATTGTTTGAGAGATCCAGACAATGGCCCCGGTTGGACAGTTGTTCAAAGACGTCAAGATGGATCTATGGATTTCTACCTGAATTGGGTTGATTATAAATTTGGGTTTGGCAATCTGGAAGGCGAACACTTCCTTGGATTGGATAAGTTATATGCTTTGACAAATAATCAAGTTCAGGAATTATGGTTCCACTTGGAAGATTTTGAAAATGCAACTCGTAATGCATATTATAGCAGTTTTGCTATTAATGATGAAAACTCAAAATATGCACTTAATGTATTGGGTAAATATTCTGGTAACGCAGGAGACAGTTTCACTGCTCACGCTGGTGCGAAGTTCTCAACAAAGGACAACGATAATGATAATTGGGATAAAAGTTGTGCACAAACCTACACCGGAGCTTGGTGGTACAAGGCCTGCCATAAAAGGTATATAAAAAATAAAAGTCTTAATAATTGCCTACATATTAGGCTTTTAAAAGAAATATATATGATTTGTTTATGAAATGCAATTAATTTCTGTATGATGTGTAGAAGTAGGCTTAAAATATGTAGGCTCCAAAATGTTTCAGTCGTTTTTTGATGTGTAAAGTACTGGAAATATTTTATACATTAATGAATTTATTTGTTTTCAGTAACTTAAATGGGCAGTATTTACGCGGACCGTACCCTAAAGATAAATTTGCACAAGGTGTTAACTGGTTTGATTGGCATGACTATTACTACTCCTTAAAGTATACTCACATTGCAATTCGTCCTATTAGCAGATGAGTTCTATACTTATAAAACCATTTGTTAAGAATAAATAAATTGTCATTTATAATAATTTCAGCATTTATTTAAATAAAAAAAATTATATGTATTATTGTAAAGAATAATATGTTTTTTTATTATTTTATTATAAGTAAATATAAAAATGATAATATATTAATTGAGCTACTTGAGATTTGAAGAGAATACTAATAATATAAAGAAAACAGTTTCAATGTCTGAATAAATGTATTCATATGTTTGTAACTATTTATAGAAAATATGATATTAATAATGTCCCTGAAAATAAGTACAATATAGAATCATATTTATGTAGTATATAAATATATATAACATATAAAAATAATATATACATGTAGATATAACATAAAGTAACAAGATAGTAACTGGCACTGCTGTATAGAATACATAAAAATATTCTCCTAATATAAGAGGTATGGGCATATACTGTATCATTGAGCACTACGAGTATTAAAGCAAGTATAAAAATTTTAAAACAACTCGATGTTAATAGTTGAGTACATTATCTCCTATTTCATAGTCGGCAATGTTAGCGATGAGGGTGCCGCGCCTAAACCAGGATTTATATTATTTAATTTATATTACTTATTTAATTTAAAAATAATTTTGTCTGTTTATATGTACTTATAAATGGAGTTGAATATCAAATCAAGAAAAAAAAAAAACAAAAACCAGAACACAAAAAAAATCTATAATCTAATAATAGAATATTATTTCACTATATTGACCCAGTTAACCAACCACACTTAAGTAGCCCTTAAGCTAAATATAGTATGTTTTTTACGCCCTTACTTATTGTAGTGATTATATAATGTTAAGACTTCGGGGGTTATTATATATATAAAGTATATTAAAATACTAGAGAGTTCATATAGACTTTTACATTAATTATTACAATTATTTAAAAATGGACATTATTAAGTTTATTGAGTCAAGATTTATAAAAGGCACAGGAACATGAGTGGGGCAGCGATTTTTAGCCGGAAAAATGTAATTATTAATTGATTTATAAATATATTAAAAATTTAATTTACAATAAAATAGCTCATAATTAGGTCGGTCTTCAATATCCCTTGGACAAAAAATAATAAAAACAGAGTTCTAATTGCACACCGTTGTATTAAATTTTAAAATGATCAAATTTATAAAAAAAACAAATTGATTTAATTTTTATATACACTTATTAGAATTTTTCTTATATTTTATATATCTTATATATTTTTTTTAGCAACAATTAGTTTGCGTAAGTAATCATTTATATCTTATATATGTAGTATTAGTGTGTCAATCAGCACTACCGATGTTTTCAAACTCTGCAAAGTATAAGAGACCACGCAAGGCTAAGCTGGTTGATATTAAGGATTGTTCCAGGGCCTGTAGTTTTATTAATGTCAAACTAAATCACAATATGATTAGAGTTTTTTTATAATAAAACTGACTATTTATATTTTACCAGATTTGAATTTAGTTTTATCTATTTGAAGAATTCAAGAGTTCTGGGTTTGGTCTTGTTTCGTCTGGAAACATTTTGACTGGCTTTAATAGCGCAGTATTAATTGACTGATAAGTGGATTTCTATTTTTTCTACGTCTTAAAATATATGGATTTAATATTACTTTTATAATATTAACTCTTACAGTTTAAATATAAACAACTATAATGGTATAATGATTCAATAAAAACTAGTTATATTTGAATTATTCTAATAACAAATTACTTCACAGAAAATTTTTTTTATTTATAACCCACTTATCGAAAGTCAGCCAACCACACTGATTTATATCAATAAAAACAGCTGTTTCCTAAAAATTTGGGCGTGCACTTATCTCTTCTAAGAAATAAAATTAAATTAAAAGAATTGAAATTTTACAACAGTATGGCTAATAAAATATAATTAATTGATAAGATATAAAATAATGTACTTAAGATTTCCATATAAAAGCTCGTTTTTCAAATTCATTTGTATTTATTTTCCAAAATGTTAACCATAAACTTGAGCATCTTAATAATTTCACTATTCGCATTTTGTGCAGTTATCGGAGTCAATTCACATAACGTTAATTTTGGAGACGTAATATATATTCTAAATCCCATCACAAAATTGATTTGATTTTTATTTCGTTCTTTCTAGTTGCCTTCGAACTGTGCTGAAGCGTTACATTATTCCAAACGTAGTGGCATTTATCAACTTTATTTACCTGAATCTGGACTTAAACCATTTTATGCATATTGTTTGAAAGATCCAAATAATGGTCCAGGTTGGACAATTGTTCAAAGACGTCAGGATGGTTCTATAAACTTCTATCGTAACTGGATTGATTATAAATTTGGGTTTGGTAATCTGGAAGGCGAATATTTTATTGGATTGGACAAATTGCATGCTTTGACAAATAATGGAGTTCAAGAGTTATGGTTCCAATTTGAAGATTTTGAAAATGCAACTCGTTCTGCACATTATACTAGTTTTGCTATTGATGATGAAAATTCCAAATACGCAATAAATATGGTTGGTAAATTTTATGGTGATGCAGGAGACTCTTTCACTGTTCACGCTGGTTCAAAGTTCTCAACAAAAGATAACGATAATGACAGTTCGGTCAAAAATTGTGCTCAAACTTACACCGGAGCTTGGTGGTACTATGATTGCCATAGAAGGTACATTTAATATTTAGAAAATATAATTTGCCTACATATATCAATTCATTTTCTCTGTATATAATGTATATATAATTCTTAATTTGGGTTTAGAGTAATTTATATTGACATAAATTAAGCAATATAAATAATAGCGATAAAATAGTAGAGTTTGCAGTAATCAGATTGCTTAAAATATATTTAGCACTTAATACTTTTAAAAACAATTTGTATATTAATAATATAATTTACTTTCAGCAATTTAAATGGACAGTACTTACGTGGATCGTACTCCAAAGATCAATACGCACAAGGTATTAACTGGTTTACCTGGCATGAATATTATTATTCACTTAAATATACCCACATGGCCATTCGTCCCGCAAGCAATTAACTTTGTTGAGCAGAGAACAGTTGTTAAGAATCAATAAATTGTCATTTATAATACAATAAAAATTAACCTATTTATATTATTGGAAAAAAGCATTCCCCTTTTTTTGTATATATTAAAAGCAAATTATAGAAAAATATTCCATTTAAGTTACATTATTTGTTATTGTTAGTCCTAGTTTATCACTTTCGACTTCGGTGATAAAAATATATTTCGACTAAAGACACAAATTAATATTTATTTTTAGATTTTATAAACTTTCGAGTACTTCTAAGGCATTTTAATTATATTTTACCGACTTAGCGAAAATTAAGTAAAGCCATCAATAAAAAAGCTTTTTTTAAAAATTTAGACATCCATTTATCTCTTATTAAAACTAAAGAACGACAAATAAGATGTATTTGACTGATAAGATAACATTAAAAGATTTAACTGTCATATTTTTAATAAAAACTCGTTACTCAAATCCATATTTAGTTACTTTGTGAAAATGTTAAATAATAACTTAACCATCTTAATAATTTCGCTTCTTGTATTTTGCACAGTTATTAGTGCCAATTTACACCATGGTAGTCCGGGAGAGGTGATATATTTTTGAAATATCACTATTAAATTGAAAAAAATTCAACAATTCAATTTCTTTAGTTACCAACAAACTGTGCTGAAGCATTAATTAATTTTAAAAATAGTGGCATCTATCAACTACATTTACCTAAATCAGGACTTCAGCCATTTTACGTATATTGCTTAAAAGATCCAAACAATGGTCCAGGTTGGACAATTATTCAAAGACGTCAGGACGGTTCCATAAACTTTAATCGCAATTGGGATGATTATAAATATGGTTTTGGTAATTTAGAAGGCGAATTTTTTATTGGATTAGACAAATTACATGCTTTAACTAATAATGGAGTTCAGGAGCTATGGTTTCAATTCGAGGATTTTGAAAACGTAACTCGTTCAGCATTTTATAGTAGTTTTGCCATTGATGATGAAAAGTCGAAGTATGCTTTAATCATTTTGGGAAAATATTCTGGTAATGCAGGGGATTCTTTCATGATCCACGCTGGTTCGAAGTTTTCAACGAAAGATAGCGATAATGATGAATGGGAGAGAAGTTGTGCAGCAGTCTACACAGGTGCTTGGTGGCACAAGGAATGTCATCAAAGGTATAAAGATAATAGTTTTTATTCATATATTAAAATAAACTAAACATTTATTTAGTATATCAAAATAATTAAAAAAAATTATACTTCAATAAATTAATTTAATTGCAGTAACTTAAATGGACAGTATTTACGCGGAGCGTACGGAAAAGATAAACCGGCACAAGGTATTAACTGGTATACTTGGCATCACCATTTCTATTCGCTCAAATATACTCACATGGCAATTCGTCATGTTACCAGATAAATTTATATGTCGTAAAACAATTATTAATAACCAATAAATTGTTATACATTATATTTTCAGTATTAATAACAATAACAATAAATAAAACTAAAAAAATATATTCGAAATAAACTATAAGTTCTTTCTTGTATATTTGATACGATGTTTGTAATTGTCAGAGACAGTAAAAATATATATGATGTTTAGAGGACTGCTTCAATGTTTTCTATGATAATCAAGCTGTAGTTAAAGTATTGGTAAGTAAAACTTAGTAAGAGTTTGATGAATGGAATATAGTAAAATATTCAGTTTGTTTCGACAGAGCTAAGACAGTGGGTTTTGACATAGGAAAAAATAAAAATTGGTTGAATTCAAAGATCTAATTCGCAGAGGGACACTTCTTCACTTATAGAGCGTTGAAGACAATAAGTGTGCTTAGCATTTTGTATGGAATTGATATAAACTTGTTCTTGGTTGAATATTTTGTGCTTTAGATAACATAAAAGTTAGATGCAAACTATAAGTAAGTTCTCTCTGAATTGTTTAAACTTTTATGACATTTTTTTATTTACTATCTGCTTGGCAAAAACGTTTTTTTGCTTTTTCTTAAATATTTCGGTATTTAGTTATCTTTTCTTAAA